CCCCAAAACCCCAAAACCCCAAAACCCCGTATTAAGTTTATAGAATTGAATTTATGTTTGAAGTAAAGAATTCAAATTTTAACATGATTTATGGAAATTGCCAATAATCTCAGCGTGACTAAAACAGTATTGTTTGAAGATTCTGTCAATATGGCTTTGAGAAAGCTTGCATCAGGTGAGATTGATCTCTTTGAGACTTTCTCTTAAATCTGAATTCCAAAGCCCATGGATGAGGTTTTCAAAATCTTGGAGATTATTAACCCAATCGCTATGTGTCTCTTCTCCTCATCCTACAAAGCAGAGGGCTTCGATCATGGCTCCTCTTCATCAGGCTGAGAGGTCAGGAACTGTGGGTAATGTTATCTTGCATCTTTCAAATTCGACGGTGCTCTTGAGCTTATTTGTGGCTAATATTTTTCGTAAATGTGACGCATTGATGCTGAACCTCCAAAGGACAATTTTCTCGGTGATCAGGTGACTCGCCTTGCATATCTGAGGTAGAAACCTATTGATGCTCGTCATAACGTTTGACTCGAAAAGAAGGACTTTTCAATTATACTGCAGGGTATCCTCTAAGAAAACTTTGGCATATTTGCTATTTGGAAGGCAGTCATAGATGTATATCTCTGAACATTTTGGAAGAGCTATAGATTTCATTTTCTTAATCAGGTTCCGTTCTTTCCTTCGCTTGATCCAGATACAGAAGTCTTCATCTGGGGGAAAGGTTCTTCGCAACCCTTTGATACTTTTGGTGGTGGAAGACCAGAGATGTTTGGAAAGGGTATCTTCCTTCTTGTGGATTATATTCTCAATATCAGCTTTCTTTGAAGTACTTATAATGTCAAAAGTAAGGGCCTGAAGGTGTTTCGGTCCATCTCTAGATTGTAAGTTTACCAGATCTGGGTTGGAGCAAGCAGTTGGTCTGACAGTTGACAAACATGGCATATTATCTTGAAGCTCGGGAAATTTACCTTTGTGCTCAGAATTGGCAGCAATCAATCACTTGTATTCACCCAATAGATCATTTGTTGTAGTACGAAGAAGGTCAATTCTATCAGAAATGCTGGGATGAGTAGTTTTGAGAAAGTTCCAATCAGTGCTGCTAGTCTCCTCTTTAACTTTGATTAGCGCTTGGTGCATCTGGTTGATCATTTTTGAGCTCCTCTTATATTTTGCGGCAGAATTATTGTTGAGAATCTTCTGAGCATCCCTCACAGTTGTTTCAAGATGCTCAATATTTCCCTCACTACAAGTGTGTAAGTCCTGCATCTGATAGTCCGCGACGTCTTGTCCTGGCCTCGGTAGATTAGGTTCCATTTTAAGATATTTTCAATGATTATTAATTTCTTGGGGTTTTGGGGTTTTGGGGTTTTGGGGTTTTGGGGTTTTGGGG